GAGTGGTATCGGCCGACTCTTCGCCATCTTGACACCGGTGACGTCTCCGGGGAATGGGATGCTTGCACCGACGCGAAACCGCGGGCTCTCATTCCTTCACGGCGCTAGGGCTGCAGGATGTGTGGGCGCCACAGCCAGGGGTCGAGGGGGCGGAGAGGCTGGAGAGAGCGGAGGAGGCGGAGGGGCGAAGGGGACGAAGGGGGCGAAGGGGGTGAAGGGAGTGGATAGGGTGGATGGGGCGGATGGGGCGAAGGGGGCGGATGGGGCGGAATTGGGTGTGCGAGGGGCGGATGGGGCAAGGCGGATGGGGGCGGAGGGAGGCATGGGGGAGGCGGACGGGCAGGGGCGGAGGGCGGAAGGGAGGGCGGATGGGGCGGATGGGTGCGAAGGGGCGAAGGGGCGAAGGCGGGCGAATGGGGCCATGGGGCTAGAGGGGCGGAGGGCGGATGGGCGGAGGGACAGAGGGGGCGGCGGGTTGAAAGGGGTGGAGGGGACGGGTGGGGCGAAGAGGAGTACGGGCGGAGGAGTAGATGGAAGGGGCGGTGGCGTGGGGGAGTGGAAGTGGGGAGAGAGGAGGTGGGCGGTGGGTGGGATGGTTGGAGGGCGGAGGGAACGCGTAACGACGCGTGAACCTTCAACGACCCGAAACGCACGAGCCCCACCGCGCCGCGGCGCATCGAATGCGCGGAAAGAACGAATCCGCTGGAGCGGAAGAGCGCGCTCTTCGCGGGCGGGGGGGGGCGGAAATGGGCGCTGCCGACTTCCTCTGCGCGATGGAATCTGGCGCATTAAGCCCTCAGAAAAGGGTGGAAAAATATTTCGAAATCCCGATGGTTTTAGCATGGTGTAAAAAGTTCCTAGTGAAGCGTTGCTATTTATGAGGAGGTGACAGCGCTGCGACTGCTGTGAAAAAGCACATATGTCAGCTTGGAATTCTTCTAAGGACGTGAATGATGGCATCCGATGGTAACCAGAATGATGGCATCATCAATTCTTATGTGACCTGGGCGTACAGGTCGAAGGGGCTGAGGTAGTTCCCATTTGATTTTTTTACATAGCACGTCTAATATTTGTGGATTTACAAGTAAAAATATATATCACTACACTTTTTACTGCATTACACATGATTATGCTGCTTTTCTATCATGTACGAATTTCGAGAGGCATGTAACATAACCTAACTGAACGTTGAATTATATCATTAAAGTAAATATTATCGGCATCCCCAGTTCATGTATGTAATCACCATGAGTGATTAAATTTACCTTACAAAACCATACGAACTGTAAAATAGTCAATTAGGCGTAGAATTAGTAAGAGGAATTTGAAGGGTGAAATAATAGAACAGGTATGTTCTGAAACCAATTTGGATTACTTAAAATTGTATGCTGCCGAGAGTATTTATAGAGAACTATTTTACTTCCCGATTACGTGATGACGGATGGGATCAGTTGGGCGTTTTTGGATTCTGTTCAAATTTACCTCTTGTTCACCGACCAATTATTTCCGCTATCTATTTTTCTACTTAAAGTAGTCGCGCTTGGATGAACATGTTAGCTCTGCCGCCACGAAGCTACCTATTCCTATACTCTCACTTTGTAATGCCTGAGGATATTTCACAGAATAGCTACATGGGATGTTTCCTCTTCCGTAAGTGGCAACTAAGCCAAGCATCTGAAAGATGTGTTGTCCATTGTCCAATGCTACATTTCCTTCATGACACCAGTTGCTATTGGTCGACTCGGATAGCACGGACGTCGTCGTCTACGATCCCAATAATTTTCAGCCTCACTACTTTTCTATTTCTCTTATTTTCTGTTTTTTAAAAATATTTTTACCAGTATCTATGGTTTGCATGTAATCTGATAATATTTTTAAGATGAAATCTTCCTTGTATGATAGAAACGACAAATGACGAGAAATCTTAAAAAAAGACGCCTCTGATCGAATAACGATGGAGATTCTCTCACGCCGCTCTTGCTTTAGACGACAGATGAGTTGTTGACGGTCAGAAAGTCAGGAGGATTTGATGTTCAGTCAGCTACACATTCGCACACTGACCGATGGATTCGCAAAATTGCGACATCAAAAACCGATGAAGCTCTACCACTGACATGACTCACCGTGTTGACAGCCGAATATACCCGAATATATTACATAGCACAGAAATACGGATACGTATGAATCAGTGAAAAAGTCGTATACAGCAGTGAAAAACATAAATCCAGGAAACGAGATGCAGCTTACAAATTCAGAGAAAATTCGAAAAACGAAAACTGCAATATTCTGCAGAGTCCGGAAGGAGACCGTATTTATATTCGTATGACGAATTATTAGCTTACTTTAATTCGGTTTTCCCATTAACCTGACTGCAGGAAGTTAAAGGAATTATTGCTTTCTTAAGCAAATTCTATTTTGAAGCTAATTTTTTATTCAAAATGTTTTAATTTACCCTCAACTGACAATTTTCAATGTGACTGAGGTATTGAATTTAATTGATGCTTTATTTTACGTGGGGAGGCGCGGGCCATGAGGCCCGCTCTTCCGTCTCACCACTCAAATTTCGTTACGCTCCTTTCACCAACTAGCGGAGAAAAGAGGTATCACTCTGGCAACGAAACAGGCGATTTGAATTTAGGTCAGAGGCTTCATTTAGGCTTGATCTTTTATATGCAGTAAATCTATCATAGGACAGCCGGCTACACTTACCCTCCGAAGGAAAGCGTACGAAGGATTTTTTTCACCCTTACAACTCCACGGCTTCGATCGGGTTTAAACCCGCGGTATTACAACCTAATACGCTAACCGTTACACCATCGTCACCGCTGTCGTATTTCGTTTTAATGGGTCATTTCTTTACTTAAGTAGACAAAATGGGAATTACTGTTGCTTTTGGGACATTATCTGCCAACTGATTTATCCAAAAGATTGTCATGAGCCAGCAATCCAATGATACAGCGCCATCCCGGAGCACTTTGTGCAACCCTGAATTTTAAACCACGTGCCAGTTCTTCTGGACGCAGTGCAGCTACCTGCCTTTCCCAGACCTTGACATGCCTGTTACAGATACTGAGAATACCAAATGTACACTCAACGTACATATATTCTCAGAATGATATGCGCAAATAGTTCGAAATTGATTTATTAAGGGCAGAAAGGTTCGTGGACACTATGTAAGACGAGTTAACAGCAATAAAAACTAGAAACAATCAGAGACACCTGAGCCTATAGTTTGTAAGGAGGAACTATATAACGAGTCAAAGAAATGCGCAAATCCGCAAAAGAATCACAATCTGACCTAGAAAGAACTGCTCTTTCCACCTCATGAGGGAGTTTGCATACGTAACAAACCTTTTACCAATTTTTCCAAGGTCCATTACACACCACATAAACCCAACTCATTCATACAGTCTAACTGTGACAATGATAAGATAGAAACAAGACGACAATTTTAACACAGAGAGTTATGTATTGAAAACCAACTTTATTCACAGGATTTTCCTTGAAGGTATTATCAATTTACTCTGAATAATACGATTAATGTGGAATGACGGAGGTAAAGTATATTGGTAAAATAGCATCACATTACTTTTGCACATGTTTTTTAACAACTACTCGCTTCAAATTGGCCCTTTAATAAACCGTATGCAACAGAACAGACAGACAAGCGAGTTTGGAAGTTAATTACAGCAATTTTGCTCATCAGACAACAAAGTACCTCGAGCGCCCATAAATCTTTTTGCGCGATGCGCGTTTTCGCTTCCGACATAAAAGCTACGTTACGCTCTACGCGAAAGATAGGGCTAACAAGAGAGGATCGCTTGCTTTTGAAGGTCCCGGCAAAGCAAGTTCCCTTCGCGAGCTGAATCGCTGAATTGCATCTCGCAGAATGAATTGAATCGCGGCCAGAAGAGACAAAGAGATAACATTGAGGTCAACGGGTGGCAAACCTCCGACGGGCGACTCATTTGCGGCGGCAAACACTCGCGAATCGAACGAGCGAAACGCAGCGCCCGTCGGCGCGCTAGTTTCGCGAGAGATCGATCCAATGGCGGGGCGAACGCGCAGGACACAAAAGCAAACCGTTCCCCGGGAAAATCACCCCCTTTTTCTAATTTTCAGGACTCGCCATTCAGGGCTGTGTCGGCTATAAACCAAGGAATGGACGCGTGATGAAGGTTTCTTTCGCCAGATTGATGAAACTGGGGCAGGGTGAGTGAAACAGATATACTGAAAGGCATCCTGAGCCTAAAAGGGTAGATTGATGCTTTCAAATATGTTTTTTTGATGAGCTACGCAGATTTTTTAGAATAGAATTAACAGATTTCCCCTTCAGGCATAATGAAAAAACCAGCAAGGATAGCGTACCTTTCCAATAAAGTGATAGTTCTAAATAATAAAGCCTTTATTGTATTTATCTCATAATATTTATTTGCGTATGCAACAGTTACTCTCGTATTATAATTATACAGGATGAGTGATTTCAGGTGAGAAAAAGCACAGAAAAGTCAGTTCACAATTTGCGAAAGGGATTTTTTAAACAAACAATGTCTGGGGTCTATTACTGTGCGGCAGGCAACCCTAAAAATCACATAGCCTAAGCATACATGCATGGAAATTATGTTCGACTTCAACATTTTAAAAGTCTAACTTAGAAGTGAGGTAACTTTGAACTTTTAAAATCTAAATGTATGTTACATTTGCCTCAGAAGTGCATGGAAATCGATAAATAACGGGTTGTGAGCAAGAACATGGTAACCCACATGAGGCTCATTTTGTGCCAACAGCGACAAAAACTTGTTTAAAACTTTGATTTAAGAACTACCTGGATTTGTTCTCTCAAGAAACATACCCCAAGATGAAAAAATTAGACGCACCAGAGATTTTTTAGATACTGTTTTTAAGTATTATTTTCATTTGTAAATTGTGGGGTACCCTGTTTTTGCCCAGAGGGAAGGCACAAAAGAAGAGGTTGTCGCGCAGGCGAGCGCTGTACTCACAAGTAGAACTTCTCGTTCCACACGGGGTTGAGCTCCTGGGGCATGGTGCGCGTCCGCTTCTTCACCTTGCCCACCTGCACGGTGACGTAGGGGTCGCTGGTGCCGCTCTTGTCCTTGGCGATGAGGCCTTGCGCGCAGATCACTGCGCGCAGAGCGGGCCGCGGGTGAGCGCGCGGAGCGGCGCCACTCACCCGCGCGGGGCGCAGCCGCTCACCGCGGCCCCTTGCCTAGCGCCCTCGTTCACGCTCGCAACTTATACATTGTGTCACCAATGGAACTGATTCTCATTGGTACCTTGACATCGTTACCTAGCATCTCAACCGAAACGTTGGCAACCGTCCTTTAGACACGCCTTCTCCCGATCAGCCAATATTCTAATTAAAAATTTACTTATTCCTAGTAGGTCTCTTTTTGTTTAACATTTCTTTTTAAAACGTTTCTTTGTGAATAGGTATTTCCACTAGTCTGTAAGTAAGAAAGCATTTCCTAAAACTGACGGATAGTATGCGTAAAATATTTCGTAAATGCTTTCTAACACAATTAAAATGTTTACGTTAGTGAAAAAAGAAACGTTTCAAAGAGCTTAATGCCAGTGTCACACAACATTAATTACGCCATCTCTTGGGCGTATACAACATCAAAGTAATGGAGACGCTTCCCGAATATTCTGCAGAGTGAACGAGGGCACCGACAAAGGCGATGAGCGAGAGGAGGCTGAAGAGGAAATGTTTCCCTGTAGCGTGGAAGCCATATAAAGCAGATACGCAAAACGCAAGGCCCCAATGCCCAAATAGAGCCCTCTTAATATGTGCTTGCAAATCGCCGAAAGCAATCCCATGGGGCCCAATTATTCCTTAAACGAAATCTTACGTTGCACGGGTTTGCCGAAAAAATGAAATCACTAGTAGCGGTAGAGTAAAATGTAAATTAGTTCAAAGAATTGAAAGTAAAAAGTTTGTATTATAATGTGCTAGATATTTCAGTTATATCAGTGTAATTAAACACATAATGTTATAATAATTATTTACAGTTACCGGGAAAATATTTGATATTTTAATACTAATGAATTGTTTTTCGTGTTCAAAATCCACAAAATATTAGAGTTGAAAAAAATTGTGATTGCATGAAGATGCGAAAATTAGTTTTAAAAAATAACGCAAATCGCATTTTCTCCATTTTTATCAGAAAATCGTAATTATTAATGCCTCCAAAATGGAAAGTTTGTTCCTGCTTGTCCTGCAAGAAAGTGCACTTTCCTCCGGCCTTCGGGGTAGTTTTCGTTTTGTTTTCTTACTTTTTCTTCTTCCTCTTCCTCGAGGCGAGGCGGTTAAAGGAGCGAGCCCTTAATGCTCCACATCGCCGTAACTCATAGGCGGTGTAACTTTCCGACCGTAATGATACTCTTCGACCGCGCAAGAGGCTTAGCCTTAGAAGGGGGCACCCTGAACCGCAGCTGAGGCTAGGCGCATCGCTCCCAGTCGGATTCTTTTGAGCTATGATTGCCGGATTCTCAACCATTCAACAGATTACGTTTATTTTTACTTGAGTTGTGACGCATAAGACATTTTGTTGAAATGGAAACACATTCGTGAAAGTTTGATGAATTTCTCGAAAATCCAGACTCACTAATCTTTTCAATAGTTTCATTTAAACAACTCTGTAGAATTCACCGAAAAGTCACGATTTGAAAACATCAAGTTCTAGGCAGATTAATGTTTTTATAAGTAAATTCGATAATATATTTTCTCTTGCACAATAAATTTCAGCCAACTTTGTTATTTAATATTTTATATAATACAATGTGCGCTAAAATCCTGGAAAGAATAGATGCCATAAAACATAATAAAGATATTGATATTCTTGAACTTAACGTCTGGGATCTTTTTATATGTGTATTCATCTACGTCGACGTGGTTGTGGGCGACATGACCCGTATTGCTAGAATTTCGTTTTTAGCTCACAGGGATTTGAAAAGATTAAGCTAAAATTCAAATAGTTTGAAAGCAAGTTTTGGGAAAATCGGTTTGAATATTTGCGGAACTTCGCAGGATGCAAAAATTACGCGTATCTGACCGAATGTCAAACGTTCAAATAATTTGGAATCTTTAAAAAGCTGTTTTATCTATTAATGTGGCAGGGGAATACAGAAACGACGTATTCTCTCCTTAACAAATCATAACAACTTCTATAGAAATGTTATCTCATAAATTGAAATCGATTTTAAGGCGGCTGCATGTGCAAGGCATTGGCAAGCACCCAACCGTGCCTTGGAGCGGCTGCAAAACCTCTGGCAATCTTTGCTGCTACTTCGATAATCAATTTATCGGCTTCGTACTTCTGGGAGAAATCTCAAAGATGATTATTTCTCCTTGGCAGTCTTCTTGCCGAGATTAATATTATTTTCTTGAATTTTGGTGGAAAACGTCGAAAGATAATAGTTTTATTGGTTAAAAACGTAATTTTCGAGATCGAAGATCCAATTCCCTTTTCACTTGCCCCAATTTAGCGTCTGCAAATTCCATAATTTATCATCAATTAAAATCAAAGAACGTATATTTTCAAAGAATAGTAATGAATCACAACTTTTTTCACTCTTGTCACGATTTTGAACACAACATACAACTTTACAACCCGTTCGAGAAACCGAAACGAACAATTAAAAAAAAAACTCACATCATTTTATATTTGATTTCCGTCGACATGAATTTCGAGCGTCAACTGTTTTCGTCTTTAATTCAAGAGTATTTGCGAAAGCCCTCGCAGGAAGGAACTTGTCGTCGATAGACAACCCAATTGATAATAGTTTCAACGTGAAGAGAATTAAAGTTCTTCAGCGGAAGCTACTCGTACTACTCTGTTCCCTTGTTCTATTCCTAAGAAATTTTGCTTGTATTTTAGCGCATTATTATTAAATTATTAAATTATTAAATTATTAAATTATTAAAAAATTATTAAAAAATCAAAGAATATACTAATATAAATAATAATAAACGAGTATACTAGTGTTTATATTGGATACCCTTTTATTGTAACTCAATTTGGATCGCTGTTGCTGACATTGTTCAGACTAGACGAGATATAACTCCCGTAAACGCGAAACAAACTAGTCTCGCGCACAGAACCGCCTCCCATTCTGCAGTTGACTTCCCTCACGTAAAAATGCAGAGTGCACAGCCGTAGAAGCCCTCCCGAGAAGCACTGCAGGCGCTCGCCCAGAGCCGGCCAGGGCCACATCCCTGGGATGGGCGTGGGCGTGGGCGCTGCGCGGGCGCGCTGCGCCAGGCACTCACCTGCTGCGCGCGCCGCGCACCGCTGCGCGCGAGTGGGAAGAGAGAGAGAGAGAGAGAGAAAGAAAGAAAAAGAGTGTGTGGGCGTGTGTGTGTGTGCGAAAGCGCAGGCGGCGGCGTGCGAGCTGCGCCCCGCTGCCGACCCCGCTCCCTCTCGTCTGCTGCGGCTGCCGTTTCGCTTTCGTTCTGCGCGCGCAGAGACTGCTGCGCCCTCGGCCGGACCACATCTCCCGCGAGGGGGTTGGCGGTGGGACCAGCTCCCATGCTCGACTCGCAGGATGTCAGGGTTTCAACTATCGATTTCCTTCCATTCGGACGCTCGCAACTCACGAGAAAAAGTCGTACGTCACTAATACTACCGATGTACCCCCCAACTTTCGAAGTGGAGTGATAGGTTTCTGAGGTCGCGCGTTTTTTATCAACTGCCTGGTCGCCGCCGAGTCTAAGGCTTAATAGCTATTGTAGCGACTGTATTTCGTGTACTTCATAGCCAATGTTTACACCCGTCTTTGTCCAAAAATACTACAAAGACATGGTTGGAACGCCTCCAACATGCCGAAGAGGTCGGGTCACTCTAACACCAAAGATCAAACTGTAGAACGTTCAATTCTTTTTTAGTCATACTCCTGATATTTATAACTTTCATAGTATCAAAGAGAGTCACACTAAGAGAGTCTCAACTCATTTCGAAAAGCAAACCGAAGTCTACTGGAGTCCATATATTTAAAACATAATACACAAGCTAATTTCAACATTATAGGTAGTGAATTATTAACACAAGTTATTGTAACATCAAAACAGTTTTATTATCTAGAAATGTAAACCTAAGTTAATATAATTGTGAGAAAAATATTCTTCTCATAAAAAAATTATTCTATCATGGAAGCTGATATAATGCGGTGCAACATATTAACATAGCAAAATTTAGTAGTTTAAAAAAATTGAGCTAATATTTCAAAACAAAGTGATGAATTATCTTCGAATTAAATTACTTTCTAAGCAGTTACAATATAAAGCCTTTACTTCCCCACGCCTACGAGAAATCTTAGGCAAAAATGAGTTTCCGGCGCGATACTGCACTAACACTGGAATTACGAAGGATATTTTTCTTCTGCATCTCAATACATCTGGAAAGTTTTGCAATTTCATCAGCTGGTAGTAACCTTTGACGTCTTCATTTTAGTTTTGGCAATAAACAAATATATCAAGAAAAAATGTGGTTTTAATAGCGTGTACGTCTGCGATTCATTCGATCTTACTTCTTTGCGAAGAATCAAAAGCGAAACTTATGGCGATTCGTTTTGAACGCGTTTAGAATTTGTCCTGTGTAAGGTGTTCTTTAGTGAGTGAAGATTCCTCTTCGTGCCAGAAGTAGTCACTCGGTCATCCTAGAATTTGCTACAACACTACTGTTACACGTAACACTGCTACAATACTCTACTGTTACATGTAACACAACACCTAACTAAGTACTTTGAACAACACGAATCTACTTCTACCATTCTACACACATCTACTCTACGACACACCACGTCACAGTTCTAAACTAATTCTCTACGCTACGGGAGGGGGCGGGGTGCGGGTCAGCTAGCGGGACAGGCCAAAACAGGCAACAGAGAAACAATCAGACAGAGACAGGAGTATGTACAAGAGTGGCCGTGGGGTGTCAGCTAGTGTGATCTGTACAAGTACAGTGGGAGACTGAGATAAACTGCATTATTGGTACTATAGTAATAAGAATCAAAGTGTAGTATATAATATAACAATATATAAATAGTATATAATAATATAAAGCTGCAGCTGCGCAGCGTCTAAGAGAAGAGTATATATATCTAAGAGTATATAAAAGAAGTGCAAGGTCGCGGCGAGGCGGCGGCGGCGGCACCGCCGGCGGACTACCTGTGATCGCGATCTTGCACGACCACTTTGACGTCCCTTCTAAAACGATGTCCTCGGCCTGTTCGATAGAGTCAATGTGTGTGTCGGGGTCCACTGAAAAGGTGTTTCTGTGGAAACATAAACACACACACCAAAGAACAACACCACATTCGAAACATAGCTCAGGCGGGGGTGGGCGGCGGGCGGGGCTGGGCGTGCGGCGGCGGCCGCCGCTGGCACACGGCAGCGACGAAGCGGGGACGGAGCGGGGGGCGGGCGGCGACTGGCGGGGGCGACGCCGCGGGGCGGACGGCGGCGGTGGCGGCGGCCGCCGGGCACACACTCACAAACCTGTGATAGCTATTTTGGCGGACCACTTGCTGGTGCCGTCCAGCACCGACTGTTTCACAGCCTTCATGTGGCCTATGTGGCTCTTTTCCTCCACGCCGAACACGGCCCTGCGTGGCAGCAGAAATTGGCGGCACAGCGCGGGGGGCGGGGCGCAGGCGCCGCGGCGCCTCGCTCCCACGCTCCCACGCACGCTCGCTTCACGCATGCACGCATGCTCGCGCGACGCAGCTCCACGCTCGCACTTGTCAAAGCAACGGTTTCCAAACGCACTTCAAGGCGACTCACCGACGCTTAAGGCGTTTTAGTCTAGCGAAACCTGTATTCATGTATCTAAGTTTTCGAAGCTCCCTATATTTTCTATTTATTTTGTTCAATTTATCGCTTTGAAAATATGAATATCTGGCAATGCTTGTTACGTCAAATTACAGTCAGGTTTGATCTTAAGTCATTTGCAAGAAGAATTTCGAGAATTAACTTTGTCAATGAAAAGAAACACGAAAAAATTTCTAATACAAAAATTTTAAACAAAAATATTTTCTTACATGTGTGATATGACATGGATAACAAAAAAATCGATGTTTCTAAACATTCTATGTATGTATTCTATGTAAACGATTCTAAATATCGATGCTCAAAATTAAAACATCGATGTTAATAAAACATTGAAACCATTGAAAACATTGAAACCATCGATGTTTTAAAAATGGATTAGTAACCACTTAAGTTCACTAAGGAAGATTTTCATTTAAAAGTGGTTTAATTAATTAATATTTTTGATCGACATTTAACTGGCAAAACATAGGCAAAAATCATTGTACAATTATCAAAAAATGGATTATCTGATTCGATAATTCAAATGTAATATAGACTTCTTAACTGACGAAATGTCAATTTCATTTATTTTTCAGCCTTGCTCAGAATTTTGTTAAGATGGACCTTTTCATTTTAAAAATATGTAAATAACCAAATACACAAATAATAAAACACCAAACGCCGATGTTCAAAAGCATCGGCTTCAAAAAATTGATGTGAAATACATCGATGATTTTATAAATAAACATAGATGTTAACAAAACATCGGCTTCAAATAATCGATGAAAAATCGATGAAAAATAGTCTGGAGATGCTTTTATAATTACAGCGATGTTTCGAAAACATGGACCTCGAAGTCGCATCCCTGTCCGCGGGCCGTTGGGCGGGCGTCGCCGGGGCGCCGGCCGCGCTGCCCGCGAGAGGAGAGACCAGGATGAGCGGAAGATTAGGGCCGGAGCCCCGGAGGGCAGAGGGCTCTGCGCTAATTAAACGCCAGTTATGGCGCCTTCTGTGGAGCTGCGTCGTCGAGCCGGGGCCTCGTTTCTCCATTGAGGACAGGGGGGGGAGGCAATGAAAGGAGGATCTGGGAGGGCGGTCGCGGGGATCTGCTCCGGGGCACGTCCCTCTCGCAGCGTTTCGGCTCAAACGCTCTTCCGGGCGAGCAGTAAACGACGAATGATTAAGGAGAATGTAGTAGAAGAATTCATAAATTTACTTGGGCATAATTTTACGACTATGTGCGAGTAGTAGGAATGACATACAAAAATATTCATCTAACTCAAAGGCACACAAAATAAATGTTGAACTGGGTATGGTCAGACCAAACATTTATGTAAAGAACAAAGGATACAAATGTACGTGTACACTCATATTCTTCGGTTTTTACATAAATGCGTTTTATAAATTGGATGCCCCTCTCCTAAAAATATGAAGTTGAGTAGTTGCCTTCAGAACAACTAGCAATGCTTTAGCACTTTTTTTCGAAAAAAAAACTGGTCGGTAGTTTTCGGAAAATACATATCAATTTACATCGAAAGGTTATACGGTTAAGAATAAGCACCTCTGTAAGATACTCCGCATCGGAAAACACTAAAATAAAATAGACTGTGCCAATAAGAAAAGGTTTAACAAGTTTACGATAATAGATGCACCCGTTGCTTTTATGAAGCAAGTAACTTCAATTTTACAGTGTCGTAAATGATCAGTAGGTTTCAGATAGGAAGGAAGATATAGAGGAAAAATAGGAAAAACATTTATACACCATCACTCTAGCACTGAAAGACAACAAAATTATCTGAAAAACACTGAAACAAATATGGTAAGCATGAATTACAATGTAGAAGTTTGTCAGAAATCACTAGTGTAACCAATGTCCTAGTAAAGACATACGCTTCTGAACACCACTCTTTATCACAGAACAATTATGAAAGTAGGGAAAATAATAGAAAAAACACAAAACAAACATAACAAAATGTTCGTAAGGAATGAACAGTGCCTCGCAATTAATAAAAAGTAATAATTTTTTAACAATACGTATGTTACCTAATTTATTACTATATTTGTATATGTATGATAATTTTCTGTTGAAGAATTAAGTTTTAATCAGTCTACTTGTATATTACAAATATTTCAATAAGTCAATATCAATATTTTATTAATGATACAAGGCACCTTGAAGTGAGCTCGTCATACTGAATTAAAGGACAAGGTATCATGAAAATAAAATTCTAATATGTTATTGTTTCAATATTATGACGAAATTCTGTACCTGAGCGTATTACATCTTAATTTTCATACAAAATACAATTTTTTAAAACATCGTCAGTGGAAAGATTAAAAATTACTTAATGTTCTCGCGGTGTCATTTTAAACTATCGTCTAAATAAATAAATGGATTTTATTTCATTTTTATCATTTTTTAAAATGAAATAAGAAAATGACGGCTCAGACGTCATCAAATCGGTTCAGTGGAAGAAAAGTATGCGTCTTGAAATATTCAATACAAACTTAATGGAAATCGTGACTTCCACTGCATCATATAATTTGATTAAGCCACTGAAAGCTGCAATCCAAAGAATAAAAACTTTTCCAAACACACCAGCTCAGTTATTGGTACAGTGCCCACAAACCCTCACCAGACACGACTATTTTCGTTTTCCTCCGCGTTTCTGCTTAAACATCCCGGTGTTCCACTGGGAGGCCTAAACCGTGCGAGTGGTGTTGAGAAGCGGGGAGCCCCGCCGGTGGTTGGCGGGAGGGGGCAGGGGCCGGCGCGGCGGCCGCGCCGCGGGGGCGCGTGCTACTGATCAGCTCGAAGATCTCCGGCTTCTCGCGTTCGCGCTGCTTCATGCGCTCCTTCATGGCCGTGATGATGCTGTTCGCCTTGTCCTCCGCGCCGTGCTTCGAACTCTTCTCGGCGGCGCCTGCGCTCACACACACACACACACACATACACACGTTCGCGCCTGCGAGCTCAGCAACGCACGCGCTTCGTACCTGTCACCACGCTGTCACCATTTATAGCAAGTCACACGCGATGGACGGATGAGATGGGTCAACAGTTGCCGTTGCGTAGTCAGCAGGCCCCATGGTTCGAGTCCTGACAGTGGCGAAATTACGACACTTAACTGGTTGGCTAGGTTGATTTCAACCCTTCCCAGTCTGGGGACGTTTCTTAGCGGCCGACTGCTCTGATAGGAAGTTTTCCATGGCTTATCGATTTCAGGCACCAGTTCTCAATAAAAATGGGCCACTTTCTAGTGTGATCTTTTCTTCCTCTTCCTCGCCCTATCCTTCTCCCATATTCACACACATGTACACTTACATTACTACACTACCACGTAATCGGGTGCTTAGAGCTTGTCCCGATGGGGCGGTGTTCCACTGAGAGCGTACGGAGATGGGAAAATTCCACAACCTGCGTTGAGGTCGGCTCAGGATCTCTTGTTCCAGCGGATGAGGAACACCGCTGTCACCCGGAATAACATGCTGTGTACTCTCGGGAGTAATGACTATAACAGTTGACGTCCCCCGTAAAGTTAAATAATCAATAACGACAAAAGGTTTGTTCTGAGAAGTTGTGACCTTGCCATAAAATATGTCAGAGTGGTGACTATGTATGTATGTATGTATATCAAAAATACAGAAAATATACATATTCAAGCACCTAATCGATTCTTAGGTCGTGTTGGCAGTTCAGTGGTCAGAGGAACCAGGTGTAAACTAGTAGACCCGGCTCAATTACTGATCAATTAATACGAGGTTTTTGCATTGGAATATTCACGTGTATCTAGTTCACCCTTGCTCTTTTAAATGCACAGGTAAACACCGCTTTTGAATGCAAAGGTAAATTGCAGTTACACAGAATGAAAGATAATTAAAGTCAATCCGTGAAATTCTATGTCGAATAGTATCTTCGTGATAGAAATTAATATAATAATAATACAGAGCATCGAATCGATGAACTAATAATAAATGTATCGCAGAGGGTACTTATCCTTGATATAATAATAAATAATAAAAATAAATGTAAATTAATTTTAATGTAAACGAGATATGTGTCAGAGATTATTTTTCAATTTATACGGAATAAAAATAATGAATAAATTTCCAGGAACAATTTAAAATGTGAAATGCCAATTTAAAAAAACGACGTTTTTACAGAAATACTTTCAAACAAGTTAAATATGAGTTGTATTTTATTTTATTTCCGTTATGCTCATATTTCCAGTAAAAAGAAAAGTAATACACAGAAAAAATAGTGAACACAGGTTTCTATTTTTAGTTCGTTTCCTTATCTCCTGGGTCTTTCTATCTTTTCGTTTTGACCATTTACTTTTCTCAGCTGGCAATTATTTGTGCTTAAAACACATTTTTTCATGTTTTCTCAGTTTTTAGAGCTTTTACATGCAATAAATCTTCTATCATAGGACAGCCGGCTATACTTGCCCTCCGAAGGAGCATACGAAGGATTTTTTCACTCTTAAAAATCTGCGGCTTTGATGGCGTTTGAACTCGAGAAATAGGGTATAATAGTCCGAAAATTAATTTTAAATCGTAGAGCTTTGAATTGGGCCTGTGAATGTTATTTTTGGAAAAAATCCTAAGAATAGTGTACGCGCTAGCGTTGTCCACAGATGGCAGACGGACGTATTGCCGAAAGTTTTTCAGTATCAAGGACTCACGAACTGTGGATTCTGTCTTAACGTGTTGTATGTATCTATGTACTTGGTGCGACAGCCCGTGAACGGGCTCAGGCCAACCGGCGACGTCCCTGCCTCGCGGCCATGGGTTAAGAGGGTACGTGTGGTTAGCACGTAGGCATCCCCACGTCGTATTCCGGTCTTCTCAACCTGAGAAGTGAATTTTCTCATCGGCACACAGCAATATTCACTGGGACATTGCAAGGATAACGCACACTATAGTCTAGGCTCGACTGGTAATCGAATGAGGGGCTTCGTAGTGGAAAGGATTTCACGTGTTAGAAGAAGTAAATTACTACATGGGATCAAGATTTTTTCACTTTTTCACTTTCAGTTTCTCATCATATTACGAGTGTTTCTGTTGCAATATCGTTGTTGTTCGCTCCAGCATTACTTTACTTTCTCACTCTCTTACTATGCATGCACAAATATTCGAGAAATTAATAATAAAATATAATATATTTACATTGTTACAAGAATTAACAATTACGTCTTCCGGAACTCGCAGATACAAAGAGAATCAACTCTCATTCTTTCTTAAAAGTACATAGACGTAACGTGCATATTGAAATTACCTATCATCTCTATCTTATTTCTTACATACTGAAAGTGAACTCATGAAATCTTTGCATACAGGATACATATTTTGCAATTGTTGCACGTGATGCATGTTGTTTGCTATCTTTATAGCATATTTTTGTCAGATTGCCTTGAAAGTAGATGTTGCATTATCCTATTGAATCATTTATAATGCTTTTAGTCGTTTCCAGGAAAGCGAGAAAGAATTCCTCAGAAACGAATCCTTAACGAGTCTACTGTTTCCCGTAGACCGTGTCCTTTCAGTAAAAAGTTTTAGTATTTATAATCGTTTAATCACAATTGAAGTCTCGTGAATTGAGTTTAAACGACAATGAATTAATAACTCACGTTCGGTTCTAACGACCTCATAGTATTTGCCATGAAAATGAACTTCGAATTTCTTTTTAAGGCTCTTGAATACAATCTTTGAATATGTTTGAACATGTTCAACATTCAATACAAAGGTGATCAGAGGCCTGTTACGCATGTATATAAGTGAACAGAGCTACAGATAGTAAATTTTATAACTCTGTTATTAAGAATTTTCGCATACATATTTTAACAAACTTTCTCTCTTCTCAAAATACAGAAAATCCATTCTTGAAGTTTTGCCGTTGGCTTTTGTTACACCTGAGGACGGGCTAGTTATATTTCTTTTACATCACTTCTTACGAGAGAATAGTAAGTTATTTAATTAACAAGAAACTACATATTTTAAGAAAACAATAACTTGATGAAGGAATTTAGGTCGGACTATATAATTTATGGATACTAAGAAAAAAAATAAATACTTAAGTATGTAGTCTGTACTACCTTCTTCAAATTATGCCGGAAAATCTCGCACGATAACAGAGCTTTGCCGTTAGCTCTAGCACAAACACGAAAGAGCAAAGATAAAGTTACAGTTCACTGGTCTCCTCTAAGTGCGATTCCGGCGCAACCAACACCAGAATGCTCTCCTCCGCAAGGGGCTCGGAGAAAAAGCTGCACATGTCGGGGGGGGGCGGGTCATCCCAAAGCCAATTTCGTTTGCAACGGCCCCAGAAATTGACATGTACGCCATTTTAGTAAGTTGCGATTATATGGCATCTGTATAGTCAACACAAGAGAGGAGCGTTTTCAACAAAAAGCAAACTCTCTTTAGTCTTGTAATGCCCTACATGATGAGATACTGTCTGTGAACACTCAACAGTATGGCATTGATTGTGAAATACTTTATTCCCGAATACCAATACATGTCATCCAGAAAGCGCAGCGGGAGAGTCTATGCAGAATCAATTACATTTGACTGGCTCAAAATACATTCTACGGTTCACGATTTAAATATTATAAGACACTAAAATATAATCAACATTTGATAGCAGCAAAACTTCGATTAGAAAAAGATCATGGCTGCTAGTGAGGCAGGTGCATCTGTAAGCCACTTAATATTGGGACGTTTTTTCACTTCGATTTTTAGGGCGAAACGAAACGATCACAAGGAAAAGTAGCTTCTTATGTCATCTTATACCCTGTCATTTGACACTTCCACTCCTTTCCAAAGGGAATAAAGAAATTTAAGAGCCTTTTTGAGAAAAATTGTTTTCGATAGTTTCTTAACAATGCCCATATTTTATGAAAGTGTGTCAAACAATATGTAATATCATTATTAAAACCAATCGATCACATTACGTTAATTAAAGAACTAATTTGTGTAGGAAAATGTTATTTGAAGAATCTTTATATTCAATATATAGGTATGACACGCCGAAAAAGTTCAGACTTTGCAGTTTCGAAAAACGTATGGTAACCGTAAAAATGGGTCATGCAAAAATTTAAAGATTGGCTTTTCAAAATCACTAGAGCTTTTAGTCGAGCGAGATTCGACCAGAAATATTCATTTTGGGAAAAAGCCTACGAGTAGTTTGGACGCTATTGTTTCACAGATGGACAGCGTCGGAAAGACAGAAGGACACCGTTGAAGGAGAGACGGTCAGACAGATTGGATGGACATTTGAAACAAAAATTGTTAAAAAAAACTTGTTCTGATATCGGGGAGTCGAGAACATGATTTCACGCTGAATCTTAAAATCGAGCAGCCTTACGATATTTTTATCTATATTAGCGTTCCATAACAGTAACATCAACATCACATAACCATTACTGGAACCCATCTATATCATAATAACTATTCTCAAGAGGCGAGAACGATATCTCTCTCGAACTCGCCGAACGAGAACGACAAATGAGCTGTGGATTTACGAAAAAATGGAAATTCGGATGCAATATTTGGGTGGTAATTCTGGGCCCTGAAGATCAGTGGGACGCTTCCGCACGCTGGCGAAGAAGGGATCTGTCTGCGTGCGCAGCCTACGCCGGCGGAGCGCCGCCCGCGAGGGTGGATTTACCTGCGGCGGGTGTCGCTGCGTCGCCGGTGGCGCGGGCGGCGTGCGACCGCGGGCGGCGCTCGGGACTGCGGTTGGCACTGCGGAGCGCGGGAGGCGACTCGACGCGACGGTGGCGCTCAGCGCGCCAGAGTGCTGTCTCGCTCTTCCTCCCTCACTCCTCGCCCCCTGCCCCCT